AAATGTAGGCCATATTGTCCTACTGGATGTCACCCCATTAACCATTGGTTTGGAAACTCTTGGTAGTGACAGGGCAAGGATCATTCATAGAAATACAACACTGCTTACACTAAAATCAAGAGTATTATCCACAACTCTTGATGGCCAAGCAAGCATGGTAACTATTGTCTTTCAAGGTGAGGAAGAATTTGTAATAGATAACAAAACTCTAGGCAGTTTCCATCTTGATGGCAGGGGGTATTTTTCTCCGTCTCCTACAATAATCCACTTCCCAGAGTTCTTGAGACTGAATGGAGATAATTTCAAGCATATTACGAAGGAGTTACTGCGATCTTTAGTTTTTGTATCCACATTCAAACACTTAATTGGATTGCATCCTTATGATGGTATGTTGTTTAGCTTGGGAGGACTTTGGATCCTAACAGATGCCTTGCAATTTCCTTTTGATCCAGGTGGAATTTTGCTGAGTACTATTCAAACCACAACAACATAAAAATGATAGTAATAAGCAACTAACAAGGGGAAAGGCTCCTGCAAAGGGGAATTCTTGTGTTGATGATTTAGTTAGTCCAAAACAAGTGGCAATTGAAGGGTTTAAGGCACAGAGTGAAATGGCTATTAATAGTTTTAGCAGATTCATCACTGTGTGGGAATCAGTTGTTGGGGAGGGAGTTCATTTGAGCCTTAATTTTGTGATGGGACTAAGGACAGGGCACCCTGCAATTTTAGCTTTTAAGGTTTTCATTGCAAATGAAGGGAAACATTCAGATTGGGTTGCTGTCTTGCCTTGCATATGGGATTCCCAGAGTCGCTTTATTATTGATGCACAAATTATTGCATAGCCTTGTTCTGTGTCCACTTTTTATGGGTAATGAGTACTGGACATGGACATTTCACAAATGGGAGAAATTGGCACTTGGTGATTGATATCCAGAAAATAAATCAATTTTGCTATCTTCCATACACTGCTCATGCTTTGTATTCAGTTAAGAATGCACTCATTTATGCCTCCCTCATCAGGAAGAAAACTGGAGACTATTAACTCTTCATCTCGGACTGAAATTGCTAAAAGAGCTGGTTGAGCTTGAACCAAAGAAGTTGCTACATGGGATGATTCTCACCATGTCACTAACCAGCGCCCCATTTTTATCCTTGGAGGCATAAGGAGGGTTCACCTAACTTCGTGGACCTATGATCTATTGACATCTGAGCGGAAGTGAATGGAAAAGAAAGTGGAATGGAATGTGATCTACATCTGGGGAGTCCGATCTGCAGAGCTACGGAATGGGAAGGCCTGTGAATGAAGCCTTGAGTGCAGCAACAAAATGAAACTTTTAAAGTGGAGTTTTGATGTTGCCATAGAGTGGATCCTTCCATGGAAGATGACACTCTATGTAGTTTGTAATAAGAAAGAAGAATTGCAGGTTCTACAGACCAGAGATCTTGGTAGATGCAGCAGCTGAATGCAGACTGAGTTGCAGATGGTGGTTGTTGCTGTGTAGAAGCTGGGCTGGGCAGCAAATCAGAGGAATACACTCATGGTTGGCTATTTTCAAATCACACTGGAACATAAGAAGCTAGCTGCTACATGGGAGAATGATGCTCAATTGTCCTTAAAAAGTTCAGTATCTACATACATGATCCTTGAGGACAAGGATCTTTAAAGGGGAAGGTACTGTAACATCCCGAGCAGTTAGCAATCCTCATGACGTCAGCAAGTTAGGGAACGGCGTCGTATGAGCACAGGGTTAGTGACCGTTGCTACTAATTGAAACGACGACGTGCGAAGCTTAGCAGTTGGTGGATGAAGCTAAACGATGTCGCTTGATCGTGGGTGAGGCAGCTGTTGAAACTGACAAAATCTGAGAGTAGTGGAGTCAAATTCTCTTGGCAGTATTAGCTAGCTATAGTCCTTTATATATTGTGTTTCTTGTCATTTTATTTTCTTATGCTTTTGTTGAATTGAAATCAGGAATCTAATTTCCTTTCCTTCCCTCTAGACATCTTTCTTCTTCTCTTCTTTACCTATTTCTTCTTCTCTTCTCTACCTCTATCTGTTTCTTCTTCTTTTCTCTATCTCTGCATCTGTGTATTTGGTTTTTAATCTCAGGGTTGTGACAGAAGTAATGCATCAGTATTATTAGCCATAAAATATCTTCATTATGCAACAGCTTCATGACTTTGAACCTCGATCACGATGAAGAACTAACTGGCGGACGTTCTTGGATGGAACCGACATAGTGGTTGCTTCGACTACCAAAGGGTGGCGGTACGTCTTGCCTTTCTCCTTTTACGTCTTGGCTTTTACTTTTCCACGTGCCTACTGGATGCGGTGTGATTTATGCTTGCCAGTGGCTCGTCGAGTGTTAGTGTCTGTCTTTATTTTCGTATGCGAAATTTCCTTTGCTTCTATATATATATATTTTTTTTTTCTTTTTTTTTTCTTTTTTTTTTCTATGTACTGTAGATATGCACCTTCTATACTTGCTTTTTGACATCTACTTTGGGGCGTGACTTTTAGCTTAATATGGCAAAAAGCACACTTTGCCAGCTTCCCAGACGCACAAGATTAATATGCAATAACTTGATTTGCATTGAGTCGGCATGCTGCTTTTCTTGTGGTAATGGAAGGAGCACACGACCTTTAATATCAATTTGGAATTTTCATTCTTTGGAACCGGAGGTATTTGATTAGAATATATACAGTCGAACTCCTCTACCAACCATGTTGGAATTATGCTGCTTATATGTTTTAATATAACAAAGCCTTTCACATAATCGAGAGAAAAACAGAGAAAGCAACTGTGACCACGGTGTCCACCGTTAAGGTCGTGGTGGGGGAACCATTTATTCGGCGTCCCGACTTCTTGATTCCCCGGCCGAGTCCCTCAGTGTGATGGACTGACCCTTCTCTTGCCAATAACTATTGAGTACGTACCTTAATTTCAAACATCTAATCTAACCTTTTTATATAATAATGGTTACCTCTTGTAGACCTAGACATGCAGTCTTCCTTGCTTGAATCTCATCTAGTTCTCTTCTTGGTCCACTGTTCTCTGTGAACCTTCTCAATCTTCCGTCCGTAGTGAATCCTTTCCACCGGGCGCTCTCCGAAATTGCTCAGACAAAGAGGTAAACGCGACCTTTTGTCACGTCCCCACAGACGGCGCCAGTGTTGGTTTTAGGGTTTTTGGGCCCGGAGAGGTCCAACACAACCTTGGTTGGTGGATTCACCTTTCATAATAAGGCTACTAAAATAGAAGAAATATGACTCGATGATTTTTACGTGGAAACCGAAAGGTGAAAACCACGGGCCTTTTTGGGCGGTTCCAAGCCTAAATTCACTATGTATTTTGTAGGTGTCTTTGTACATGTTGTATGGCTATTTTGTATATAGAAATATTCTGTAGGAGTAAAGCTATCTTTGGTACCGAAAGATGGAGTATGCTTCTTGGTGGAATGGAGTCTTCTTGGTAGCCTTCTTGTTGTGAAAGTGAGAGAGTGTTTGTGGAAGAGTACTTTCTCTTTTGGGAGAGTGACGGAGTATTCTCTATGGGGGAAAGAATAGTAGGTGGTCTTCTAGTGTGTTGGAATAGTGCTTGGGAGAGTCCTCCCATATGTGGATGAATGAATGACCTCTCCCTCCTTGTGCTCTTCTTCTCCTTCTTATAGCTAGTTCATCCAAAAGTGTCCGTTGGGGGGTAATTAGTAGGCTTTATGATGACTTAATTTGGGTAGTAAGTAGGAGTTTATGTGGGGGTTATGGATAATAATAATAATAATAATTAGGTAATTAACTAGTGGTAATAAGTGGGGTAATAATAGGGTAGTAAATAGGTTTCATGGGTGATAATGTAGGAATAACGGCTAGTTTAGGACGACCTTCTACCCTTGCCGACCTCCGGGTCGAGCCGACCCCTTGGTTTGGCCCATATCTATTCTTGGGCTTGCTCCATTTTCTTCTTGGGCTTCTCTTCTTCTTCTGGGTTTGATCTCTTTTCTTCTTGGGCCCGAGCCCACGGGGTTCACACCCCATCAATTATTATTATTATTATTATTATTATTATTATTATTATTATTATTATTATTATTATTATTATTATTATTATTATTATTATTATTATTATTATTTACAATAATTTTAATATCTAAAATTCAAATAAATTTAAAATTTTAATATAAAATATTAATATTGGGCACCTATTTTTTGCACATCACGCATAAGAAATACTAGTTATTACACAATATGTCCTAATCCAATACTTTGTCTTGTTATTATTACAGAATTCTTATCTTTGTAATAGCACTTTATACACAATTAAAACAATATTAGCCCCCTACTTGTTTAACCAAGTGGCTTGTAGTCCACTGATATCGGGTTGCTCCCCTAGGTGGGAGGTGATGGATTCAAACCTCGGTTGAGGCAAGTAGTGTGTATATGTAGGGTATCCCGCTTCCTTATAATAATAATAATAAAAAATAATATTTGTCCTCGTGACTTATATTCGTACATATTTCGTCCCTTTATTACATTCATATTCATCTTTATTCGTTTAATCCGTACTTATCATAATTCGTTGATTTAATCCTGTTAATTAATTCGGACCCCCGAGTTAATATAATCCATCCCTCCGAAATTGAGGATAGCCTAATTTATCATTTTTATATTTCCGGATATTATTTAACTTCTATTTTATATAATTCTCAATTCCTTGATTATTCGATTCTGCATAATTCGTGTGTCTACTTAAAAATATCCAATAAAACACATCACAAGTACTGAAGAGTAGGGTACACCGTACATCTATGCTAGGATAGATATAATTACACACCAAAAACAAGATATATTTCAACAATTAACATGTACATACATAATCAAGATCCGTAATAGAGGAATACTACTCCTACTTGTAGAGATTTCCTCAGGTTATTGGAAATTATAAAGTGCATGCATGGCAACACGTATTTCAAGCTTCCGCAACAACATTATATTACATAATTATTTGAAAGGAAAGGAAACGCAGTTCTGACAGATGGGAAATGGCTCAATTAAGCTAGTCATCTGACCAGGTTACTTTGAGCTCGCCCCACTGTCGTTTTGGCACACCTAAGGCCTCCCACACTGCTTTTGAGGCGTCAACTATGTTATTAGCACATCCCCGGTTGGAGTCACACTCATCCACAACCATAGCTTCCACGCTCCGCCCGTTCCCGTTTATGGTGATATAGTTATGGCAGCGGTGGCCGTGGTCGTACCATCTGGTGGAAAGTGCGACGATTAAGGTGTCATCGGAGTGGTAGTGGCCATCACACTCAGATGGACCGCCCCCACTTCCGCCCTTTTCGAAGCTGTTTATGGTAAGAACTGCCTTCTCTCCAGACAACTGAGGTTTAGACTCGAAGGAATGAGTAGAAATGAGAAGTATGAGAAGAACAAGAAGGGCTCCTGCTACGGATCTCATGTTTTTCATCCTTCAATGGAAACTAGACATTCAATGTTTGCTTTATATAGATATGTTGGGCGGAGGCTGGTAAAAGGGTCAAGTCCATCAATTGGTGGTTAGGGATTGTCGGGCGGAGGTTGGTGGAGAGTCAAATCGAGAACAATTTTGAAAATGTGATAACAGTTTATATAAGGGAATAATGTTGTGCTTTTGCTACTAGCTATAACTTTTAGCGTAGTGTTAAACATTTAATCCTATCAAAGCAAGGTCAAGGGTTCAAGCAAAATCTGGCATGGCAGGTTCTGAGAGGGACAATTGTTTGGTGGAGGTTGATAAGGAGCTAAGTCCATCAATTGGTGGCTAGAGGGAGGTCGGGAGGGAGAATTGTTGGGCGGAGACTGATGAAGAGTCAAGTCTATTAATTGATGACTAGTGAGATTATGCTTTTTATGTATAGTAATAGTAAGCATTTGATCTAACAAAATAGAAGTTTGAGTACATAATCACATGCCATGCCAATTAAGGTATTTAAGTACTCTAGGAATTGCTGAAATGTCTTTCTTTTTGTGCTGTTCTGGGACTTTTTTAATGAAGAAATTCTAGCTGGCCGGCAGGTTTTAACTTTTAACCATCCATAACAAAAAATAATCTCCAACAAAGACAAATTTACTTAGTTGATTCACAAGCACGTGCTACTCCGATCCAAGAACCTCCAACAAAGATTTTAAGTTGCGGTCTTAATGTCTTATTGCGGGCTGATTTATTTATTTAATTACTTTATGCCATAATTGTATCGGTTATTCAGTTTGAAGACAAGACAGTCGTTTTTAAAGTTGCTTATTTAAGAGGGTAAAAATTTGTGTGAGACGGTCTCACGAATTTTTATTTGTGAAATAGAACAGAGTTAAGATGAAATATAATATCGTCTATATTAATAAATGTAATATTAAATCAGGAATAAAATATTTATTACATATAAAAATATATTACTTTTGAAGAAAAATATAATACTTTTACATTTTGATTTAAAGTATTACATTTTTCATCAAAAGTATTACATTTTCCTTTATAAGTGCAACATTAACATATAAGGGAAAATATAATGCTTTTGATAAAAAAAAAAAATTAATACTTTTACATCAAAATATAAAAGTATTACATTTGTCCTTAAAAGTATTACATTTTCTCTTATAAGTAACAAACATTTTCTTCCTAATTTAATATTACATTTGCTAGTATAAGTATTACATTTGCATATTGACCTAATCCGACCTGTCATGTCTCACTGACAAATATTCATGAGACGGCTACACACAAGTATGACCCATTTAAGAAACAATGAGACTATGCTACTTTAACCCATTAAAACTATTACTACTTTATAACATTAAACTAATATTTGCACCCGTGCGATGCACGGAATGGATTTGTTGTAATATATTAAGAATATTTGGATAGATATATAACTATTTAAATTAGAACATCAAATATTATATAGTGCAATTAAAGATATGGTTTGGATCGTTTATGTATTTTATGTTGTCATTGCTTGAATTGGTGCAAATAATTGCTCAAATTAATAGCTAATGGTCTAGATGTACACATGCATTGCTATAACTTTGAAGATTTTATTTATCATTATTTAGTATTTATCATTGTCTATAAAATGTTTTTCTTAAAAAAAAAAAAAAAAAACTAAAATAAGAAGTCATTACGATAAAACTTTTTAAATAAGAGTCTTTTGGCTTCTCAATACTTGTCGACATTGATGGGCAAACACTTATGTTTGGAAGAGGAGCATTGCTCAAAGCTCATCTTTCTAAACATTTTCTAAACAAAGGGGAGCTCGTGGTTCCTTTTTTTTATTTATTATTTTAATTTTATTTTGTATATAGTTTTGTTTTGATTATTATTATATTATTAATATTAATATTATTATTATTGTAATTTTATTTTATTATTACATTATTACATAATAATAACAATAATAATATAAATTTTCTTTAAGACAATTTTCTGCTGTGCATTTAAAAATTAAAAAGAAAAATATTTTCTGAAAAATAACTCATTTTCCAGAAATTATTTTCTTACTTTCCAAACGAACTTTTATATCTATACAATTAATTTGTTAAATTGCACAATAATTATTAGATAATGGCCTTGTTTGATTATTGACAAATTTGTCGCTATTTTAAAAACTCACCAATTTTACGCCAAACTGGTAAAAAAAAAAAAAACAATACATAGACATTTTGGGTTAATCTTTCCCAAACCGCCCTAATAAAAAAAATAATTTTTTAAAAAAAATTAAAATAAAAAGTCATTAAGCTTAGACTTATTAAATAAGAGTTTTTTGGCTTATTAATACTTGCCCACATAAATGCGCAAGCAATTATGTTTGTAAAAGGAACATTGCTCCCCTTATATAGAGGACCTGAAGAGCTCATATTTCCTAACATTTTCGATGTGGGATAAAAATGATCTCACATCATTTACAAAGGGTAGCCCTTTGTCTTATTCTTCTTATCCTTATTTTTTTTTATGTTAATTTTATTTTGTATGTAGTGTTGTTTGGATTATTATTATTATTATTATTATTATTATTATTATTATTATTATTATTATTATTATTATTATTATTATTATTATTATTATTATTATTATTATTATAAAGAATAATTATTATTTCTATTTTTATTAAAAAGATAGATTTTTTAGGAATTAGGCGGGAAGTTAAATTTCAGGATTTTATTTTTATATATAGAATATATTATAATAGGAATTGTATTATACTATTTTAGGAATAAAGTTCAAATTGGCCACTGAACGTAACCTGAAAATGTAATTAGGCCACTGAACAAAAAAAAAAGTGCAATTAGGCCACTGAACACTGCAAATGTATGAAATTTCACCTGATAGATGATTACCATCAATTTTAGCAGGTTACCTATTTACGTGGCAGGTGAGTTGACATTTTTTAATAATTTTTAAATAAATTTTAATAATAAATAAAAAAAAACGACCGGGTGGCCACCGGCCAACCCCTTCCCCCACTCCCCCACCCCTCTTCCTTCGTCTCCGGCGGAGACGAAGGAGAGGGGAAGTGGTGGCCGACGGCCACCCGGTCGTTTTTTTTTTTAAATTTAATTTTTTTCTATTTTTTTAAAATTTAGTAAAAAATGCCAACTCAGCTGCCACGTAAGCAAGTAACCCGCTAAAATTGATGGTAACCTGTTATTCGGTGAAATTGCATACATTTGAAGTGTTCAATGGCCTAATTGCACATTTTTTAGTGTTCTGTGGCCTAATTGCACTTTTTCTCATTCAGTGGTCTAATTTCATTTTCAGTTTACATTTAGTGGCCAATTTGAACCTTATTTCCACTATTTTATAATATTAGAATGGAAATTTTAACCTACAATTATAGTACGAATATGAAAGTAGAAAACAGTATATTTTATTAGAAAGAGAGATTTTTTAGGAATTGGGCGCGAAGTTAAAGTTCATGATTTTGTTTTTATATATAGTATAGAATATAGAATTATAGATTAGAATATGAATTGTATTACACTATTTTATAATATTAGAATATGAATTTAAACCTAGATTTATAGTACGATTATAAAAGTAGAAAATAATATATTTTATTAGAAAGAGAGATTTTTTAATTTAGGAATTGGGCGGAAAGTTAAAGTTCAAGATTTTGTTTTTATATATAGTATAGATTAGAATAGGAATTGTATTACACTATTTTATAATATTAGAATAGAAATTTTAACCTAGAATTATAGTACGAATAGTAAAATAGAGAACAATATATTTTTATCAGAAAGAGAGATTTTTTAGGAATTAGGCGGGAAGATAAAAGTTCATGATTTTGTTTTTATATATAGTATAGACAAGAAAATTTTATTGTTTTTGTTAACTATCTAGTATCTATGAAGTGGTTAATCGCGAGAAGTCTGACCTCGTGGCACCGAAATTTTTAGGATTATCTTAATATTCTCTTGTCATAGTTGATATCACAAACTACCTCTGGAATGATAGACCTACAGAAAAACGTTGTTAGTGTGTATATCTACCACTTCTCTACTGAATACTAGATGGTGTGTATATGTTGAATACAAGAATATTCACTTAAAGTCAAACTGAATATCCTAAATTACATAACTAACTAAATCACTTATTCTTGGTCCCGAAAGGGTGGCGAGAAGTCTAGAGAGGGGGGGGGGGGGGGGTGAATAGACTTCTCTAAATTTTTAAAACTTTCTTCAAAAACACACAAGGCAAATAACACTTTGGTAATTTCAACTCTAATTAACAAGCATCAACAAGATAAACAACTTAGAGTGTGCAGCGGAATAGGTAGCAGTAAAGTGTTATGCTTAATTAGTGCGGTGCTCAAAGAGAGATTCTAAACATGCAACACGTTAGAAACACTTGATATGGTTCAAAGATGATGTACGTAAAGATTGGCTTGCATGCAAACGTGGGAACTATTAAACCCAGATAGATAAAAATATGCGATAAATCGTAATCGGGTTAGTTCGCAGTTAGAATAAGCATGCACGAAATATATGAGCAGTAAGTAAATAGAGAGAGAGAGAGAGAGAGAGAGAGAGAGAGAGAGAGAGAGAGAGAGAGATTTATACTTTATAGTGGTTCGAAGATGGTGTAATTCTCCTACTCCACTCTTCTCCTTTCACTTCAAGGAGGAAATTCACTATTCTTTGATCACCCAGATACAATAGTGAATAAGTGTCCACCGACACTTCTCCAAGTGCTTCGCATAGAGCTACACTCCTACAAGGTTTTTCGCAAGCTCCTCTTGTTACACCGCCTTCCCGAGTACTTCGCACCAAGCTGTACTCTTACACCATGAGAATTACGCACAAAGCTACGCTCTCACAGGGTTTTCACAAGCTCCTCTTGTTACTCTGCCCTTTACAACGAGTGCTATGCACAAAGATACACTCAACCAGGGTTTTTCACTCTCTCTAGTTACTCCGCCCTCTTTCTACACTCAGTA